CCCAGTTGCTGTAATTACCACCAGAGATGCTATTCTAGAGAATAGTCACAAATGAACAAAACTCACCTCAAAAGAGAACACTTGGTTCTTTACCAGAGATTGCACTAATCATCCACATCTCCAACTTTCCCAAAAATGAGCACAACATAAAAAATATGCAACTGGGTTGATTATTACCACCCTCACTGTCAAGCATGCCTGCTCCCCCCAACTCCAGGTCTCAGATGATGAAGTCCTCTCCTCATGTGAAGAACCAACTCTTCCATCTAAGGCTCCTTCTTCATAATCTTTTAAATTACAAAAGTAATGTGTGTTTTACACTGGATTCCTATGATGACTGCACAATGGTACAAATTTACTAAAACTCATAGAAATGTGAACTTTTTATGGCATATAAATTATATTCAGTAAAGGTACTAAAATAATTAACATAATAGAAAGGTTAGAAAAAAGGAAAAATTATCCAAAATATTAATTCCTTAATTCATAACACTAGTATTATAATCCTTTCCAGAGTTCTAATTTTCAAATAACTTTTAAAGAAATTGTAAAATTGTAGAAAATCTTTGTAAAAAAGTTGAGAAAAGCAGAAAGAGAAATAAAAACACCCCAAAATACCACCCTGAAAGACAACTAGTACTGCTGTTGGTACATGCCATTATCCCTTTTCCTGACTATATGCAATGTATTTTTTCCCTATTATTGTATCACCCTGTAGCTAACTTTTTTCTTTGCAATAGTGATGGACAGACACACTGTCTGTTCCCATGATCCCAGTTTCCAGATCTTTATACCTTAAGGAATCCCCCTTTCCTTGGGTGTGACCAGGATCTATGAGTTGTTTCTAGCCAAGAGAATATGGCAAGGGCAATAAGAAAGTACCTGATCTTACTAGAAGACTTTGCCTTGCTGGCTTTGAGGTAGCAGGCAGTCATTTGGGGATGGCCCCATGACAAGGAGTCAAGGGTAGTTTTTTTGCTAATGACTGGCTAAACATTCAGGCCCTCAATCTGATAGGCCATAGAAAACTGAAAGCTGAGTTTGAAAGTAGATCCAGCTGGGGCACCTGGGTGGCTCAGTGGGTTAAGCCTCCGCCTTTGGCTTGGATCATGATCTCGGGGTCCTGGGATCAAGCCCCGTATTGGCCTCTCCGCTCAGTGGGGAGCCTGCTTCCCCCCTCTCTCTGCCTGCCTCTCTGCCTATTTGTGATCTCTCTCTGTGTCAGATAAATAAATAAAATCTTAAAAAGAAAAAAAAAGTAGATCCATCTGAGTTTGAAAGTAGATCCATCCCCAAGTCAAGCCTCAGATGACACTGCAAACCCAGCTGACAAGTGACTGCAGTCTTGTGATAACCTGAAGCAGAAGACCCAGCTAAGACATGCTCTGACCTACAGAAACTGTGAGCTACTGACTGTTGCCAAGTTTATGGTAATACTGTCACACAAAATAGATAAATAATGTAGCAATATTAAACTGCATTTCAGACCAAGAAATCTTTTTTTTTTTTTCAGACCAAGAAATCTTATTCCACAACATATTTTTTTAATGTCTGCATGGTACTTCACATTATTAGTGTTGCACATTTTATGCAACTAATGCACCCATGTTGGACATTTAAGTTACTCCTAGTTTCACATTATTTAATTTTTTTAAGATTTTATTTATTTATTTGACAGAGAGAGAATGAGAGCACAAGCCGGGAGACAGAGGGAGAGGGAGAAGCAGGCTCCCTGTTAAGCAAGGAGCCCAATGCGGGGCTCCATTCCTGGAACCTGAGATCATGACCTGAGCTGAAGGCAGAGGCGTAACTGCCTGAGCCACCCAGGCATCCCAGTTTCTCATTACTTTAAATAACACTACAATGAATATACATCCTTGTATGAATACATCTACCCCATTATTGACTTTTTTGTTCCTCAGAATAAATAACAGGGAATATGCTTATTTTTGTCCACTTGTGCTCTAGACTACACCCACTTCCGCCTCCTCCGGGTTCCTGTACGCCTCCATTCCTTTCCCTCTTTGGCTCCTTCCTCTCAAATGCTAAACAGTCCCAAGTCTCTTTCACTCTTAAAAATAAAAATCCTTGGGAAGCCTGGGTGGCTCAGTTAGTTAAGCCTCTGCCTTCAGCTCAGGTCATGATCCCAGGGTTCTGGGATCAAGTCCCGCATAGGGCTCCTTGCTCAGTGGGGAGCCTTCTTCTCTCTCTGCCTCTGCCTGCCACTCTGCCTGCTTGTGTTCTCCCTCTCTCTGACAAATAAATAAATAAATAAAATCTTTAAAAAAATAAAAATAATAAAAATCCTCCATTGGAGAAGGTATGTGCTATGGTGAGTGCTGTGAAGTGTGTAAACCTGATGATTCACAGACCTGTACCCCTGGGGCTAATAATACATTATATGTTAATAAAAAAAAAATTCTAAAAAATAAAAAATAAAAATCCTCCCTGGCCCTTAATTTTTCTTTAGTTACTACCTTTTCTTCTTCCCTTCTCATTAAAAATTCTAAAAAAAAAAAAAAAAAAGGTGTCCGTATTAGCTATCTCCACGTAACTTTCCACTCACTCCTTAACATCTTGTATTAGTCTGCACACTCATATTGTTCCACTGGACTATTCTAAAAAATGCTACCAAGGATTTCCTATTCCTACTTCACTGGATTGCCAACTCATTTGGCCCTTCCTTATGGAAATTCTCTTTTTTCTCTCTTCTATTTCTTCGGTCTCCAGTCATCTGTTCTCAGCACTGTTTATGGGCCAATCTTCCTGAGTCTATACCTAAAATTTTACTCTTCTATAAAATTTCATCCTTAGCCCTCTTTCTCTTCATTTTTCCATCAGTTCTTTGGGCGGGGCAGGGGTAGTATTAACTACTATATGTTTGCTGATAATGTAGCTTCTTAGTTTCCAGCTCTCATTATTTCTAAGTTCTGGAAGGATATATCCAACTTTTTACAGGATTTATAGGATCTGCTTATATCAGAAGTACTCCCAATCTCATCTGTCCACCCTGCAAAAAACCTTCCTCTTCTGGCTCCATTATTATTTAGCTCTTGTTGATGATCCTGTCATCTGCCTAGTCAACCAAATTAGAAACCTAACAGTAATCATCAACTCTTCCCTTTATCACCATGTCTTGCCAATTTTACCTCCCCAGCCTCTAAGCCATCTCAGCCTCGTTATGTTCTATAGCACTGCCTTCCACAAATGAATCTTCCAAGACGCTATACAAATTGTCCATCTAACTGCTTATGTTTCAAGCAAAGAGAAAGTACCTGTAAGAGATACACACTAAAATACTTACAGATGAAATAATATATCTAGGATTTGCTTCAGAAATTATGTGTGGAGTGGGGAGGAGGTGAAAGTACTGATGAAACAAGACAGGCCACAAGTTGATAATTACCGATGCTGGATGATAGGTAAATGGGAAGGGATTCATTGTACTCTTCTACTTTTTAATTGCTAAAAATAACAACTAATCCATTCAAAATGTTAACCTTTAATGTCCAACACACATATACACCACACACATACATCCCTAAAAAATTTAAGTCTATGCTCCTAAGGATGAAAATCAGGACCCTTCTTGAGAAATAGTAGATCACATCTTGTACTTTAACAAGTATACCTGTAGTTTCCAGCAAACCATTGTGTCATGCCTTCATACATTTGCATAGACTGTTCTTTCTTCCTGCAACACCCTGCCTGGAATGTCCTGTTGATTGCTTCACTAACTCTTGCCATTCTTGGCTAGGCATAACTTCCTTCAGAAAGCATTCTCTTAACCCTGCTACCAAGAGCAGAGGGTAGAGGTAAGATGCCTCAGCTCTGTTCTCACAGTACCCTGTTCATATTTCTTTATAGCATTTACCTCACTGTATTGAAATTATTTGCTTCCTAGAACAAGATCACATTTTATTCACCTATGGGTCTCCATGTTCACTGAGTAAATGAATAAATGAATTAGGAGTACCAGATAGAAATAGATGGGGGAAAAGAAATCACACAAGGTAGTTTTATGTTTATTACAATTTCATCTTTATAACTATCCCGTGAATTAGACATTATGATCTTCCTTTTACAGATACAAAAATTGTGGTTCAGAGAAGTTAAAGGGTCAAACTAAATTATTCCACATAACACATGCTTTCCAATAAAATGGTACCTTATCTGTTTCTAAATAAGATGATATAATAATCCCTACTCCTTAGGAATAGTCTTAATATCATAGTCTCAATAGTGAGAGAACATACACAGACCAAAATAGGTTTAAAAAGATAGCTCTTTAAGGAGCTAATGTTATCTGTGGGTACTCTACCTTAGAGATTATATTTTAGTGACAAAAAGTACAGAGAGCAAAGACTAGTCATTCCCTCTCAGCTATACTAATAGTCTTTATCTACAACTCTCAGATGGAGGGCCATCTGAGGAGAGAGAATATGTAGAAAAGTTGCAGGATAAAACCCACCTGGGTCCCTCAAGAGGGGGGTAAAAAAAGAACCTTAACCCTAAGATTCTCTAAAATTTAACGTAGCTTAGCTTGTAAGGGAAATAGCTATTTCCTTCCAAATCTTTCTACTTACACATGCTAAAGTATGTAGCTTAGCAAATACTTGACACTAGAAGGGCATACACCTGGAAACCCCAATCAACACTGGTTAAATTTCTACTTATTTTTACTTAGAACACAGGAGACTGTGTTGAGGTTCAATATAGTAGAATCACTTGTATATGCCTATTACTGACACTTTTTTAAAGAGAAATCCTTGGGTTTGGGAATCCTCCTAAGTTAATAGACTCCTACTTAAGATTTTGCTATTCCAATCTTTGTGCTCAAGGGTGATGCTTTCTTTTCTTTTCTTTTTTCTTTTTTAAGATTCTATTTATTTATTTGAGAGAGCATGAGCACAAGTGGGGAGAAGGGGCAAAGGGAGAAGGATAAGCAGACTTCCTGCTGACCAGAGAGCCCTACACAGGGTTCCATCTCAGGAGCCCTGGATCATGACTTGAGCTGAAGGCAGGAGCTTAACCAACAGAGCCACCCAGGCGCCCAAGGGTGATGCTTTCTTAATGCTAATCACTCACCTGCATTGGCTTTCAGGTCTTCAGGTGTTACCATAACAACAAATCGGATTGCACGTTCATTTCGAAACATCTCATAAGACCAACGGCGGATAGACCTCATGCATTTCACTGCTGCAATGCCATTGTTGGCGATAAGAACCTGGGAGAGTGGTGGGATGGGAATTGGAGAAAAGTAGAAAAGGCAGGCAATGACAAAGGAGAAGAAATGAGACCATTTCTGTAGATCTCTGGCTTTCTCTGGAAAGCCAGATTTTCAATTAGGAATTTATGTTGCTAGTCTTGGCAGTTAGGAACCAGCTCCCACATGATCAAGGGATATTTTAAAATGTTAGCTAAGCAAATACTTTAATATGTGCCAGCTAAAAGTTACGCTTTCTATCTTCATTTCTTGAAGGGGGAAAATCACAATTTTTCAAATCTTGTGAGTTTGTGAATTATTCTACCATACCTGTTACTAGGGGAACAGAAGACAAACTTCAGAGGGATGATGTATTAAGGAATGGAGGATGACTGAACAGCATAATGTCATGCACTATTCTCTGTTATACTGAACGAGGTGCAGAGCCCTGAACACATGTAAGAACACTGGCACCAACCACTCTCTGTCTCCCCAAAATGCTGAACCCTAAATGCCTTAGAATTGTAGAGACTGCCTTACAAAGAATGGTCACAAGAAAAAGAGGAGAAGAACCAATGATCCTGAGACATCACTGTAAACAACCTCTCCTGACCGGTCTTGCAATCACGGCCCTGGGATAAGAGTGGCTGGAGATACACCATCGGTCTTTATTGGAAGTTTAACAGAAGCACGCCATTGGAGCAACACTGCTAAAGTGGGAGTATAGGTCCCCACAGCGATCTCTTTCAGCCAAGTTGTACTGCCAGCTCGGACGTGGTTTAGATAAAAGGGGTACAGAATTACACCTAATGTTTCAAAATATTTGTAATCTCTTTAGGTATTTCGTACGGTGTATTCCCTCTAAACACCTCAAATATCTGCTGGAAGCCCTTAAGTTGCAGTGCACCAAACTATTCAAGCCTTCTGTTCTGAGAATGCCTCCACTCCCTTAGCTCTCACTCCAATGCAGTGACATATCTCCTCACCACTACCCCACAAGCTAATCTGTTTCTCAGACCCTCTCATAGTGGGGCAACCCAACCCCATAAAACCGCAGGACCTTTTAAAAAGAACTGTTTGACCTCCACTTTAACTTTTTTTTTTTTTAAAGATTTTATTTATTTATTTATTTATTTATTTGTCAGAGAGAGAGAGCGTGCACAAGCAGGCAGAGAGGCAGGCAGAAGTGGAGAGAGAAGCAGGCTCCTGGCCGAGCAAGGAGCCTGATGTAGGACTCGATCCCAGGACCCTGAGATCATGACCTGAGCCAAAGGCAGCGGCTTAACCAACTGAGCCACCCAGGCGCCCCCTTCCACTTTAACTTTTTAATTAGCTCTGCCTAAATTATCCATGGTAAATACAGAGAAAACAGTGAAATTCACAGGACACCATGGAGGCAGAGAGGTTAATTCTGCACAAAGAGGCGGTCTCTGAAAATCCAAATGCCGGTTTTGAACAAATCTAGACAACAAGTCTAGGCATTGAATCTCATGAGCTTTTGAAAAAAATAATTCAGCAAGTTATAACTTACCTTCTCAATCACTTTATTCCCCCCAAAACGGGTAACAAATTCTGCCGGAGAAGCTACAGTGAAATCTCGCTGAGAGTCTATTTTCTTTCGGTCTCGACCTTGCTTTACTAGATGCAAACCAGACATGCTGGACCTATAAAAATAGAGAAACCATGGAAGTCTAAAGATGGATAGGATTTTTTTCACACCATCTATCTCCCCTGGAGATCTGCTTTTCACGACCATACTTACAACAGCACTTCCAACAGCACACTTGTAAAGACTGCACGCATACAGATCACATACTTTTTGAATAGAAGAGAAGAGAAAAAGATCTTTGTGGAAATTTAAGAAAAAAAAAATTAAGTGTTCTTGGATAATAAAAGATAATATTAAGGCTTACCAACAGATGCCATCACAAAGAGACAGGTAAAGGATAGGACGAAATGAGATGGTAGAGATAAGAGAGACTGGGAAAGCTGAGAAAACAGTAAGGCTCTTGTTGGATTACGATCCTTGCACACAGATGACCTTCACCTCTGTATCTCTAGCCTCCATTTTTCTTAGGAAGCTAAACTTTTAACTATCTACTAAGCGTTTTATTTGTGTATTACATAGGTATTTCAAAATCAGTAACTCCAAAACTAAATACAAGGCAGCATAATAGATTGTATTTCAATTACAAGACATTCCTCCTTAAAAAAAAAAAAAAAAAGAAAGAAAAAAACTTTAAAAAATATCTGAAATCAGGGGCGCCTGGGTGGCTCAGTGGTTAAGCATCTGCCTTCTGCTCAGACCATGATCTCAGGGTCCTGGGATCGAGCCCTATGTCGGCCTCCCTGCTCAGCGGGAAGTCTGCTTCTCCCTCTTCCTTTGCCTCTCCTCCCCAACTTGTGCTCATGCTCTCTCCAATAAATAACTAAAATCTTTAAAAATATATATATCTGAAATTGATGTGTATCTTACAACTGATGGTGTGCTTTATTTAACTGGCAGTATTTTTTTTTTTCTGAGTGGCACATACAATAATGGTCCCTTAACAATCA